CTGATCAAATTGACACTTGTTCCACACTAAATTTGGCCTCGGCGCGGTTCTCCGATGCTCGTTCGACGTACCATCTTCTTTGAATGAGAAGGTGGTGCCTGGGAGTGTATCGGGGAATCTTGCCGAGAATCAAGTTCAGGCATCATCAAAATCTTCTTTCTCCAGCTGGCTCCGATAACGAGAGCTGGGGCGAAACAGAAGGCACAGTCTCCTCTCTCCACGCCCGAGTTCAAGAGAAGATCGCTGAAGTGGCTCGAGTCACCATATTTCTCTGGCAGAAAGTCGGCTCTCCGAAAGCAGCTTCAAGAGATCGAGGAGCAGATTAAGCAGGAATACATCAGTACCTCTCCCTTCAAGTTCTCAGTCAACATGCCAGACAATCGCGGCATCTGATAATCAGCAAGGTCAACCCGGGCCCCCTAGGAACGGGGTTGATCCCGACCACCCTATCTATCGATCGTATAAGATTCTAAACGATGGGATAGAGAAGTTTTCGGGTGTGGGGGATCGAACCTTCGAGGAGTTTCTCGAAATTATGTGGACACCATTGAGCGTTTCCACATCTCATACCCAACCGCAAAGAGCCTCCTTCCTATGTTTCTTACCGGATCGGCCAAAATCAAGTATAACTCCATTGGTAATGCTAAAACCCTTGATTGGGATGCCTTAGTACTGGAGTTAGCGAACGCGACGAACTACACTGCCTTATACAAGGGAAAGACTCGGTAGGAGAATTCGCGCGTAAATTGTTGGCTAAGGCCAAAGTGGCCCATCAAAGCCATGATAAGCGTATCATATCACAACTTGCTATAGACGTCTTCATAAAAGGGCTGCGATCAGATATAAGAAAAGCTATAAGACAGCTACCTAAGAAGGATGACTACGATGAAGTAGTCTCTAGTGCGGAGAAGGAAGCACGAATCCTCGACCAGGAGCGAGCTGAAGACTGCGATGCTATGGGGGCTCCTTGTCAATGACAAGCTTGGAAAAATTCAAACCAGCTCAACAATTTGTCATTAAAGCGCCCTCGAAATTTTAGGACGAACTTTGGGACAACTAATCGTGGAAACTTCGCCGCCCGTGGTCGAGGAAGCGGTCAACGGCTCCCAGGTCCATCCTTCGGAGCGAGAGGAAATTTTCGAGAAAGCTTTCCCTCTCGAGGGAACTTCCCGCGGGGAAACTCGTGGAATCCGTGGATGTCTCATCGGAACTTCTCTCCATATTCCCCGGGCTATTACCAAGCGCCACCGTTTCAGGGATCAGGGATCGGAACAAAGAGAAAAATGGACATGGGAAGAGTTTGGAAACGGAGTGTGCTGCATCTACGTGCAGGTGCTCTTAGTACGTCATCACTTTGCATGGCTGCACTGTGTGTGCACTTATGTGCGCACCTCCAAATTTCAATATTCGGTTTCATTTCTGAAATTCAATGTTCAATAGTACTACAGATACTACACATTAGGAGCATGGCACATATAAACTGGGCTGTACAGATACCCAGCCCCGTTAGTGATCGGCGCGGACCTCAACATCTCTCGCGTCTCCTCCTGGATGCTAGCTGCACTTCATCTTTTTTAAAATTATCTTCCTTCAAGTGTTTCTGTCCATTTTTCTTAATAATAATTATTTCTGAAATAAAGTCGTTTGTCTTGTGTCTCTTCCACCTCTAAGGAGTCTACTAGTCGGAACTCGCGCGCTAAGGACGTCCCCAGGCAACTAAGGCTGCACGGGGCCCGATTCCTGACATAGAGGCTCCGGCTCCGACTATAAAACTTCTTTACCCCTCCCCCCCC